CATCAGCCTGAGTTAGTGAATAGATTGACCAAGAACCAGAGATCAGCAGAGCAGATCCTGAAAGTGTTGCCTTGCTACTGATGGGAAGACAAGATGTCTGGAGCCTGCAAGAGTTGCCTAAGCACTTACACATGTACTTAGAGTGATTGTGCAAGGGGCCAAGGCCATTTCGTCCTCGGTGGCTGCTCTTGACATGCTTGAATTTTCTCCTTCTCCCATCTAGCAGGGTTTAGATGTTCACACTTTTGTTGCCACTTAATCCTACTTGGGTAAAGTGCAGCAGGCTTGCCCTTATGGTGAGGGGATTCTTGCAGCTTCCAGAATAAGGGAAACCTGTGCCAGCTTAGGATGCTCCAATAGGGCATCTTGTTCTTGTTTGTGGAGGGTGTGATGGCTGTTCTTGGTATCAACTTGACATCTGGAATAAACTGAAACCCAAGCATCTGTGTGTACTTGTCAGGGATTTTTTTTTTCTTAATTAAATCATTTGAAGCGGGAAGACACACTTTTAATCCAGATCTTTTGAGATGGGAAGATCTACCTTTAATCTGGGCCATACCTTGTGCTGGCAGCCTATATAAATTACATGGAAGAAGGAAACTTTTTCTCTTTGCTTGCTCTCGCTGGTAAGTCCATTCCTTCATTGGCATTAGAGCCTACTTCTTTGGGATTCCAGTGTATACTGAAGACCAGCTGAGACATCCAGCCTTGGACTTTCTGTTGGTAGATAGCCATTGTTGGACTAGTTGGGCCACAGCCTATAAGGCATTCTAATAAATTTCATATATATATATATATATATATATATATATATATATATACACACACACACACACACACACACACACACACACACACACACACACACACACACACATATCTCCACTTTTTCATTCTATCAGTTCTGTTCCCCTACAGAACCCTGACTAATGTAGAAGGGGTTGTTGTGTTATTGGTGTGTGTGTGTGTGTGTGTGTGTGTGTGTGTGTATCTGTATCTGGGGCCTTTCTGATCAATCAACCCTAGGGAAGGTAGCTCAGAGATTTTCATTTAATAACATAGGCCCTGGAATTCCTTGGATTGTGCTGTGAGCTGCTTTAACCCATTGTTGCAATGCGACCTCTTAGCCCTGTAATTGCTCCTGAATTTTACAGAGACTCTCAGAGAGATCTTTCTGCTCTGGTTGGGACATAGACTCTAGAATGCACCTTCTTAACACATGGCTGTATAAGTCATGTTGTTTGAGGGTTGTGCAGCCTAAGAACTCCAATGTGGAGCTCTTTATCACTGGGTCTGTCCTCTGTAGGTACTCTTCAGGGCACATGACTCAGAATGCTGCTCACTCTACTGTCTCTGTGGGTAGTGAGATAATATGTTGTCAGGGATAGAGATACCCACATGGGGTTCTTAAGTCTGTCACCAGCTAGCTGTGTGACCTTGGACAAATGGTTCTACATTTGTCCTATATCTGTGTGGGGGTTCTGGGGAGGAAATGAAAGGTGTGCCATTCACTCCTGGAGCTTTTATGTGTTCGGAGGCAGGTCACTTCCCTTGTCTGGTCCTTTCACAGACTCCTTGACCATAATTGGTCTCCAAAGTTCCTACCTTAGGCAATATTCACTAAACCCATGATCTGACATGTGGCTGTTAAGTTCCTGTCTTTCTGGTCTGAGTTAACTTCAGTTCTTCCTGTAAGACAACAGGGGAAGAAGAAGTCCTTCTTAGTCATTGTAAGAGAAAATGTTGTTGTGTGGCTGGAACAGATCTAGCATGGACTCTCCTACAGGTCTTGAGGGTGTGTGTGTGTGTGTGTATGTACACACACGTGACATGAATGGGATCCTGCCGACAGTATGCACAACTTTGTATACATGCTTTGGCAGAGCCAACATCTTTCTGTCTGTTTACTCCAAGGAAAAATTAAAACAACACCTCAAGGCTGGATGTGGTGGTGCACACTTTTAATCCTAGCACTCTGGAGGCAGAGGCAAGAGGATCTCTATCACTTCAAGGCTAGCCTTGTCAACATGTCAAGTTCTAGGGTAACCAGGACTATATCGAGAGACCATGTCTTAAACAATGAAACACCTCAGCATGGATTCTGTAACATCTAAGTGTATGTGGAGTTAAGGCTAATTTAAAGTGGGGAAAAAGTAAATGAGGTACTGTGGGGAGGAAAGGGGCATTCTGAGGGCCACTGATTGAATGTTTCAAGACAGCGTTTTTTCACCTGTCCACATGGTACCAAAGGTGGGTGGGCTGCTGAAAGTGCTTATTAGGCAGGCCTGGTTTTGAATGGGAACACTGGCTGGCAGTAGCGGCAGATACCTTCCAGTCTTACTGCACCGATTCTGTGTGTGTGGTTTGATTGGTCATGAGCCTGGCAAGCCAAGCTAGGCTTTCGTGGCCCTCAGAAGTACGTGAGACCCAAAGTAAACCCACAAGTATGCACAGAAGGAGAGTGTGAAGAACCCCAGGCTTGGGACCTTCTGGTCTTGAAGCCTTGATGGGGTTCTCACATGGGCCCACTCTGCACTATCCTTCTCTACGTGAATGTGTTACAACCCCTAGCAGACAGATAGCTTTGTCCTTAGAGAGTGTGGCTCAAAGGTAGGCACAGTCTATTTGGGTTAGGATCAGGGCTGCAAGATGCACGGAGAACTGAGCCAATAGGGAATAACTTCAGATAGGATGGCAAAGATGGTCATTTCAAGAGGAGATCTAGATGATGTCAAGGAGGAGGGCAGGAACTGAGGCCCGGCAATGGTGGGCTGTGGTAGAATCTTAATTTTACCCTAAGTGTGAGGGCAAGTGACTGGAGAGTTTGGAGGAGCAGAGTTACCTGGTCATAGCAACCGGCAGTTCTGCATCTGAGTTCACCAGGATAGAAGACAGTCTAGAGCTGTTGGTATTGAACAGAAGACTGTTTTCTCATCATTCCCTGAACAATGCACTGTAGCAGCTGTTTGCACAGTGTTTACATGCCATTTGGTGTTCTAAGTAGTCCAGACCTGAGGGAGGATATGTGTAATAACTCAGGGGACTTTGAGGATCTGAGAACTTTGGTACGCACTGGGGGTGTTAAGACCAGTCCATTAGATCCCAAGTGACAGTGGATTTTTAAATGATGATTCCAGTTTATTGGAGGCCTGGGAAGAGGTGGATTATGGACAGAGGGGAACTGAGAATCAGGAAGAAAACTGGTCACGGACACTCTTAAGTTTTGAAGATCAAACAAGCAGGGAGTCCCAGGTGTTGAATGTGAGGCCCCATTCCCTCCTGTGGGTTTCCTCCTAAGAGGCTGGTGGTCAAGGGTGTGGGTAGTATTTAAAGCTGTGCGAATCCTGGGTCATCTCCACCCTCCCTGCAGTGTTCCAAGGGTCTTTGACTGAACCATTAGGTTTCCCATCATTTAGCGGGGTCTGTAAGGGGAGGACAAGCAGCAGGCAAGGGAGGAAGACAGCCCTAAGCTGTGCTTGCTGGGTGTCTCTGAACCTGATTGGAGGAGGCCTTACTTCGGATGAGGTCAGACGAGAAAAAGGCCTCCACTCTACTGAAAGGGAAGTAAGTCACTGGTTACCTTAAGGAGTGGTAGGGTAGCCTGTTGGTTTGCTTCCCATGCTGCTGTGAAACTGATGGGAGAGGGGAGAAGTAGCATCCAGGAGAACAAAGGGCTTCTCTACTAAACCAGTGGTGTGGGACGGCTCCGGATGCTCACCTAGTATCTGCTTCTGAGAGGAAGCAGTGAACAGATGAATCAAGGCTTGGGAGGAGCCCTTCCCTCTGCCATGCCTTTTGGTCTTAGCTTTCTCTGGGTACCAGTGTTATGCTTTGTAAAATGGAGATGTTGGGGTCCTGGCCTGGCTTTATCTGTGAATGCCAACTGAACCAGCAGCCTTGGTAAGCTGTGAGCCCTCGGACAACCACAGCCAAATATTAGGTCTGTGTGCATTTTGTGACAGTGATCTGTAATCCAGAGAGCACTGAAACCTCCCAGGGTTTCCATCACAGGGCCTTTCCTTCCCATTCCAGCCACATGGGTCTGGTGTTGAGTAAAATAGGCAGAGACCACTTACAGCTGGAGAATACCATTTGCAAAGTTGAGTCAGAGAAACCTAGCACTGTCACTTACTGTGAGGTGCCAGTAAATGGCATTGAAATGCCAGCATGCTGTAAAGCAGAGAATAGGGAAAAACCAATGACAAAACAGAGGTGGCTCCGTTTGCAGAGCATGGAATGTTTTATATGGGAAGAAAACTGCTCTGCTTTAGGATTGTGTGGTGCATTTGGGTCAGTGAGTGTCTGTAGGAGGGAGGTTGAGGTTCCAGTGCCTCTCTTCTGCTTAATGAGGCTTACCTTAATTCATCAACTAAGACCCCAATATTTCCTGAGCACACATGTCTCATGCTATGTGTAGTTGTGATGAGGAGGTCCTGCCCTCGCCAGTGAGTGGCCTGAGTTGCTGCTTGTCTGTGTTTGGAGTCTGAATCCTAGGCTGTGGGACTAAGATGGGAGAACAGGTGGTCTTGGGTTGTACTTTTCCCTTATAGCCTTGCCTTGTAGCTGGCCTGATCCATATAGATCTCATCTGGACCAGAGTCCTCTAATAACCCTGGCAGTCGTCAGGAGTACAGTATCTTGCACACTGAAGAGCAACTCGCTGAGTGAGTTGAGGGTGGGGATGGATAAGAAGGAAGAAAACAGTCTCTTGTCAGCATGAGGCAGTCTCTCCAGGACTGATCTCAGGATCTTTACCTTGGCTTTCTGGTCATGCAGTCATCTGGGATAGAAACCAGCCACCAGCCATTCTGGGGAGGTAGGTGCTGGTTATCTGCAGTCTCCATGTCTCTTTCATGGTGTAGAGAGCCCCTGTCATCTACAGGATTCAAGTGTCACTCTGGACAGGAGATAGACGCATCCAACTAGAATGTAGACTTTGTTCCTAGTGCTGGTTTCTGACCTCTGTTTTCTCCTCTCTCCCTCCCTCTACCCCTGCTCAGTTGGCTGGAGTTGTCTTCCTTGGAGTCGGGCTGTGGGCATGGAGCGAAAAGGTAGGTGGAACCTCTTCCCAGGCCCCAGTTATTAGGCAGCCAGACCCAGAGCCACTGGACTTGACTTGTTCCCTCCTCTAGCCTGTTCAATAGGCACTACCTGTTCAGTGAAAGGTTCGTAGCAGTTTAACCCTCAGAAAGAACTTGCCTCGCAAGGTTGGCTCTGCTCCCAAGGTCATGGACAGTTAGGCCAAAACTGGAAGTGTAACCCCCAGGGCTTGGCAGCTGTGCCCAGAGCATGCCTGCGGCTGCCTCCCAACCCTCTCTGTTATTTCTGTGAACAAGTGAGCAGGTCCCTGAGCAGAGTCATGTTTACTCCCCAGGTGCTTGTCCTGGCCCACAGAAAAATGGAGGTAGAGCCTGGTTATGTGCTCCTGGACTTTGTAGGGGAGGAGGTGTGTCTTTAAGAACCTAGGTACTGCTTGCTGGTGTGTGAGAAAGGAGCAACCAGGCTCTTGCTGTGCAGCTAGACAAGGGGGCACTTGGCACTCTAGGGGCTCAGAGCTCCAGGGACAAGGTGGAGTCATGGTGCTGACATTACTTTATGGTAGGTTAGTGCTAGTAGCTTAGGTGCGAGAGCTGGAATTCTTACTGGAAGGAACAAGGAGGACCCCAAGCTGAAGCACCCCCGTGCCTGTGGTGGAACCTGCTCTTGCTTCCAGAAAAAGGAAGCAGAGCACTTTGTCTGTGAGCTTTTATGTAAGGTTTTAGGAACAGAATGAGGTCTGCTCTCAGCCTGGGAACCTAGGAACAGTTCAAGGAGGCCTGTGAACCCTGATGGCAGAAGGTGCTGGACAATGTCCCTGTCTCAGTGACCTGGAGGCAGCAACCCATGCCTGTCAGCGCCACCATGTGATTATATTTGGGACTGCAGCAGGCTTGACCTGGTTGAGCCCTGATCCTGGCGCTGGCTACACAGCTGCCTGTTCTGGCAGCCCCCTCCCCGCTTTGAATATCATAGAGTCTGTCTGTCCATTGTGGTTGCCGCTAGTCACCTATAATAATTTTAAAACATTACATAAATAATATAAGCACTTTTTAAATTTCCCTGCTTTCTTTTAGGTGTGTATAGTTACGTATATGCACGAGTAGAGGTCAGAAAACAACCTGCAGGACCAGGCTTTTTGCTCTCCTTCTGCTGTGTGGGCCTAGAGCCACACTCGGGCTGCCAGGCCAGGCAGCAAGTGCTTTTCTTTACCTGTCGAGCCGTCTCACTAGTCCGTGACTACATGTACTGAAATAAAAACGATAAACCAGTTCTTGTTTGTCTCTAGCCTCCTTCCATGTGCTTATTGCAAGTATAGCCAGTGGTTGTCTTTGAACAGTGCTGATAGAAGGCCTCCATCATAGACAGGTCTGTGGGTAACACTCTGTCCTTCATCTACCCTGAGTGTGTTTGCTAAGTGTGTTTCCTCAAAAATGTTCATTTTGAGGCTGCTTTTAGCCAGTTTGACCATAGGCCATAGGACTCCACTCCTCTGCAGCCTGGCCAAGGTACCCTCCAGGCCATGGAGGAAGCTGGCTCTGGGCTCACAGAAACTCCATCATCAGTGTGGACCAGGACTTTCATGAAAAGTATCTGGGGGCTGAGGTGGACAAGGATGCCACCTAGACTCAGGGGCTCTGGAAAGTGGGCAGGAACACACTCTGGCCTGGCTCTTGATGACAGGACTAAGCCTTGAAGAAGCAGGCCCCCACCTTAGCTGCTGACAGAGTTTGCCCCAGGGCCTTGACTCCATTCTAAGGACACTGTTACCTTCTATTCTCCGCCTCTTCCAGGGTGTGCTGTCCGACCTCACCAAGGTGACCCGGTTGCATGGAATCGACCCTGTGGTGCTGGTCTTGATGGTGGGCGTGGTGATGTTCACACTGGGCTTTGCAGGCTGTGTGGGTGCCCTACGGGAGAACATCTGCCTGCTCAAGTTTGTGAGTGGTCCTGGAGTTGAGGGTGGGAGATAATGGATGGGATGGGCAAGGGTATAGGCTCATATTTGTTTTCTGGCCCAGGCAGTAGAAGCAGGGAGCAGTCCTTTGAACCTCTGTCTCACTGGAGGGATGATTTTAGGGAGAAAAAACCAGATGATGTTCCTCACCCTAGGAAAGTGGGGTTTCTTGTGGGACCCCCCTCCTCCTAGAGGAGCCCACTGATTGCAGGGGCTCTACCCACCTCCTTTGCTTTATAGCTCCCTTAGAAGTTCTAGAGACTTTTGCTGTTCACCTTTGCCCTTCCTGGCTAAGATCAAACAATGTTGCCAGTAACATTAAGAAATCATTTCCCTCCTCCTGAGTATGAATCTGTTGGATGTACAATGTAGAGTTTTTAATTTTCTGCCAGAATTATGAGTTACTAAGAGTTTAGTTTTATATTTAGATATGACTTCATTTTTAAATGTATTCAGTTAAAATTAAATAGCACCTGGTGAGGAAAACACTTTTATTTTCTTCATAATTTATTATTTGTTGAGTTTATTAGGTCAGGCTTTCTTCATTTGAAAAGCAAAGCACACATTTTCCTAGATCTCCTCCTCCTTCAAAATACTGTGTTTTGCATCTCACTCCTCGGGGGCAGGCTGTGTGCACGTGTTTGTGCATGCTTGTGATTCTTCTCTGGATTTCTTGGAAAGGCTCCTTCACATTTCCTAGATGTGGCAAAGTTTCCTACTGCCCTTTATGGCTGTAAGAACACAGACCCTTCAGGCCGCAGGCAGAGAGAGCTTCATCTGTGTCCCAGTGGCTGCATGGGTCCCAATAGCATGTCCCCACTGTCTGTAGCTGCACAGCCATGTTTGTAGAGAGGTGCATGTGCACATGCAGAGTGGGTACTGATAACACTGGTACCTCCAGAGTGGTAGTGAACCCCGCAGGGAACTCAGATGTCCTGTATAAGTTACATTGTCTCAGAGAAGCTCTGTGTCTGAATCTCAGTTTTTTCTTCCCTAAAGTGGGAGTGAAGGATTGGGTGTCTAGGATGGTTGTGTGCAGGGTAGAAGCAAATAGTGCCCAGGTGCAGGCTCCATATGGAAGCAACTGACATGGCTTCTTTTCATTAAGGTGGGGGGAGGGGAATCAGGGCTGCCTCCTGGAAAATGGTGGTTGTCACTCATCTCAGTTACCAGCTGTGTTGTATGGGGCATGAGTAGTAGTGAATCCCATTTATAGAGGTGAAGTGCTGTGCAGTGGGAGTGGTTCTGGGTCTAGTGGGGTACATGGGTTAGCCAGGCTGGTGATGGCTAACTCCACCTCTCTTGTGCCCATGCAGTTCTGTGGGGCCATCGTGCTCATCTTCTTCCTGGAACTGGCTGTGGCTGTGCTGGCCTTTCTGTTCCAGGACTGGGTGAGGGACCGGTTCCGGGAATTCTTCGAGAGCAACATCAGATCCTATCGGGACGACATTGACCTGCAGAACCTCATTGACTCCCTTCAGAAAGCCGTAAGCTCTGCCCAACAGGCCTCCTACTAGATCATGCCCTTTCCCACCTCTGGTCACTCTGGGGTGCCCTGCAGCTGAGATTGGAGCGAGGTCTTCCCTCCTGAGAGTGGCTCCTCTACCACAGCATGGCGGGGAGGTATGGAGCATTCCCTCTACCTCTGGTCAGCTCAGCCACAGTCTTCCCCAGGATCTTGGGCCCTGGGGATATAGAGGGGATATAGAGGAGAGAGCTCCTCCCCTAGGCTTGTGACTCACAGCAAGAGCTATTCCTGTCCCCTTCCTCTCTGGGACCTTTCCTCCTTCCTGTTTGAGAAGAGCAAACTGCCTTCTTGGAGGAAGCCATCTCAGATGGAAGGATGTGACCTCTCAGAAGCTTTCCCCAGGGGGTTGAATGAGCAGGCTCTGTCCCTCAGCCTTCCTGCCCTTTCCCTTTGCCTGCAGCTACACCTGGAAGCATGGATCACTGGCTGCTCCAGCCCCTGGGATGAACTCACTGCCTGCCACAGTGGCCTGTTTGATCTTCCTCTTCCAGAAGCTCAGCTTCCAAAATGTCTTTTCTATCAAACACTTGGTTCCAACGAGAAACCAGAAAGCACTAAAAATAACTGACCCATTGTTACTAACCAAAACTTGTTTACCCTGTTGCATGTAGTCTGGAGTCCAGCAAAACCTATTTACATGACCAGAGAGGCTCCCGTGCCTTGTTACTGACTTGGGAGAATCCTGTGGTATAGCCTCCTGTGGGTGGCCATGCTGCCCTTTCTCTGTTCCATTTCTTTCTTTAGTGCTCATTGTTATGCCCAGATGTGACCCCAAAGATAACCACCAGAGACCTTAGGTACAGAATGCAATAGCATGGTTTATTTCTGTTTGTTTACAAGCCGCGGGCAGGGAAGCTCGATCCAAAGCACTCACTCGTAGTCGTGAGGCCAGGAGGAACTTGCTTTTTCTTTGTGTGGCTAGTTTTTTAAAGGCAAAATCCACAAGCCCTTCAGGGGGGTTGGGGGAGTTTTGCATGGGTGCAACTCGGATTGGTTTATTTTTATCTCTGTTCTCTTTTAATTGGGTGAGGGTATGTAACCTTTGAATTTACTGGTTGGTGGTTACAATTTATTACTTTGGGGGCAGTCCAGCACAAGTCCCAGGCTTTGTCCTTGAGCCACCATGGGCGCTGGCTGGCCAAGCACGTACTGCACATAACTCTAAGTTGGTGAGGGGCCCCAGACAGTAAACATCTGGCTGAACTTTGAGCAGTCTTTTGTTCATGGCCCTACCAGAAACTGCTTGCTCAAGTCTCAGGAAACTGAAATTGAGGCCTGATCTCTGAGAGAAGACTGAGCAGCCTGTTATGGCATCTGCTTGGTCCTTTCACTCATGTGGTGTGGTCTGCTGGTTTCTATCACTTTCCCCTGCTCTTTCCTGAGGGATGTTGTCTGCCTGCTGCTTCTCTGTCTCTGTCCCTGTTGAGGCAGGTGAGACAGAATCTTGTGTAGCCCAAGCTACCTTCAAGCTTACAAGCCTCAACCTCCTGATTATTGAAATTAGAGGAATGTTTGTGCTCTGTCATGCCCAGCTCCTTTTCTTGTAAACATAAAGAGGGATCCAGTAGTTCTATGGCTTGGATGAAGCCTTAGATGGCCATTAAGTCATTAAAGCGTCGTCTTTTATAGTGGAGGGGTGTGGAGGGGAAGATGGGATTTTCACTGGAAAAGTAGGATGTGAAGGAGGCAGAAATTCCTGTTGGCCTTTGTTTTGGCGGCTGTTACTAGGCCAGCCTCAAAGGTAAGTGTAGGAAGGAGACCTGCTGTGGGTGGGCCACTCCCATCACAGCATGTCCTAAGTGTGCTGGGGCTGCACCTTTGTAGGCTGATGAGGGCTTTTTGTCAGCTGCACCATGTAATGAGGAGTGGAGGGCGAGGGCGGAGGCTCCCCGTCAAGGCAGAAGTCTAGTTTTGCCGATGCTGTTTACGCTGTTTACCCTAGTCGTAAGTCACCCCGTCATAGATATTCAGCATCCGTTTTACACAGAAAGTCAAAAAGGGTAACCAGGGCCAGCATGACCATTTATCAGGGGGGAAGACCTGTTCACTAGATTAGGAGAGGGCTACATCAAAGTGCCTTTAAAGGGGGTGGGGTGGGGATGTAGCTTGGCTGAGCTCTGTCAAGGAGTGCCTGGAACTTAGCATGCTGTGACCTAGACAGAGGAGATGGCATGGCTGCTGTTTCCTTCTTAAAGGGTTACCATTTGTTGGTGTTATTCAGCATCTTCACGGGCCGTGGTGTCTCTGTGTGGTAGATGGGAACATGCTTATCTCTGTCATCCAGAGACACCTTGTGTTGGGTGAGTGACCCTGGCCCTCCTCATGTGGTTCTTGGCTTTTGTGGTTTCAGAATCAGTGCTGTGGGGCCTATGGCCCTGAAGACTGGGACCTCAACGTCTACTTCAACTGTAGTGGCGCCAGCTACAGCCGAGAGAAATGTGGAGTACCCTTTTCTTGCTGTGTGCCAGATCCTGCGGTGAGTGTATGTCCCTTCTGCAGCCCAGCAGCTCCTGCCTTTTCCAGAGCCTTCCAGGCTGCTGCTTTCCAACACACTAATGGAGTGTGGTGCGTTCCCTCCGGCTCCCTCCACCCCCGCCTCCAGTCCTTGCAACTCTGAAATCCTGGGCACACATTCTGGGAAATTCTCAGTGGTGCACCTTGACTCTGTGTTGGATAAAGAAGGAGCAAAGCTCATTCTTCCTCAAGTGGTGCCCCCTGGTGGTACTGTGAAGGTGGTGTGGTCTGGGCTGCCCCCTCTTGTGCCCAGAAGCTCTCGGTGATTGTAAGATGACACATCTCATGTGGAGGACAGCAGCTCCATGGTTAATTATTTTCTAGCCTCTTCTTCACCTGCTTCTATTCTTAGATTAGGCCTAAGTCCTCAGGGTTCTGGAAATTGAGCACTTTGGGTAACCTGTGAAGAAAGACTGTTATGTTTTGCTTGAGTAGAGATCGGCCCTGCACAAGCTTCTGCACAGCCCTGTGATGCCTAGCCACAGCCTCTGAGAAGCAAGCCTTCACTCTGTTATTACCTGGGCAGGATCCTTGGTGTGGGAGAGGCCTATTTGCTGAGGTTGCACAGTGGCGTCTGAGGTGTCCAGGGATGTTGGAAATACACCAGTGTAGCAAGTGTTGGTGCTGTGAGTGTAGCGAGTGTTAATAGTACCTACTGGCACAAAGGCTGACCAGCTGTGGCCCAAGGCCGAAATTTGACTGGTTGCTTTGTATGATCTGTGAGCCCACTAAGATGCGTTTATTTACTTTTCAGTGGTTGTTGAAGTCAGTTTTCCATCACTGTTTCCAACCCTCTGAGGAAAAGTTTGTGGGCCCCAGTGGTAGAGAGCATACTTATTATGCAAGAGACCCTAAATTTAATCCCTGGATTTAAGGAGAAAGAGTTATGCTTGTTCACAGTGTTGGAAGCGGTCTTGATGCTGTCAGGTCTGTGGTACCTGGTGGAGATGGCAAGGAGCCCATGGCAGAAGAGTCTACATAGCTAAAGAACAAAGCAGAACCCCACTGTGCCCTTCCAGGACACATTTCTGGAGACCTAAGGGCTTCCCCCCAGGCTCCATCTCCTCAAGTCTCTACCACCTTCCAATAGCAGCATCCTGGGGACCAAGCCTTTGGAGGATATTCTGCATCTAACTTCAAACATGATTGAAGAAAAAAAAAGTATAATACTTTGTGATGTATAAGAATTTGTATGACATTCAGATCCCAATGTCCTTGGTTTCCTGAAAATAGAGCCAAGCTTGACTGTTTATGTGCTGTCCAGGTCTGTGCTCTTGCTGATGAGGCAGAGCGAGTCCTGCTTTTGCAGCCTGTGTCTACGAAATTTATTGCTGAATCACCACAGAAGCAGCTCACTGACCCCTGGGCTAGCCTGGAAGGGGAGCTGGCAGTTGACTGCAGGGTGTGAGCTGTGATGCAATCTCCACAGGTGTTTCCTGGTGCTGGGTTGTGATTTTTCTAGTGTTTCCTACCTGGGTTTTTGACAGGACAAGAGTAACTTAAGTTTTCTGTTTTTCTTACAGCAAAAAGTTGTGAACACACAGTGTGGCTATGATGTCAGGATTCAGGTAAGAATACCAACACAAAGCTTCGCCGGGTTCTGGGGAACTCTTTCTCAGGTTTTAGCCTTGTGCTCTAACCTCCTGCTTTAGCAAAAGTTCAGATTGGAGTAGGGAAACAGCAGGATTCACTTAGAAGGTCACAGCTAAGCCTGAAGTGAGCTGAGTCTGCATATGCATGTGCACAAACGCGCGCGCGAGACACACACACACACACACACACACACACACACACACACACACACACACACACAGATTTGAAGCCCCGTGACTCTAAAGCCCTTCTATCACTAAACCTATCACTGCATTAGAAATAGTGTGAATTGGAAGCAGAGGCTGTGTAACCATTTTCTGTTGTGCAGGAATTGAGGATAAAGCTTTCGGGGTGTGTGACTTGCTCCAGCTTCCACCTGGAGGCAGTTGCAAGAGGGAGATGCCTGGACTAGGGTGGAGCTCAGAATCCAGAGCTTCTTTCAGACCACAGTGAGTGAGGGCTTGGGTGTGAGAAGATAGCCAGAAGGCATACCACTCCCTCACTGCAGTCGGTTTTCTAGGTTTTGGTGATGTGGATGGCTGCTGTTGTGAAACTGAGGGGTGTCTGGAAATGTAGAAATCCCCCTTCTAAGCCATGGACACTAGGACAGTTGATCTGCATCTTGGGAATCTTCCATTGACCTTAGTTTCACAGGAACAGGCTGATTGTTTTATCCCTCCAGAATTCACAAGCTGAAACCTAGTCCCCAGTGAAGGCAGAGGCCTCATGATTGAGATTACTGACTTTATTAAAATGCCTAGTCTGGCCTGGAGAGATGGCTTAGAGATAAAGAACACTGTTATTCTTTCAGAGGACCCAGGCTTGGTTCCTAGCACACACATCGTGCTCACAACCATCTGTAACTCCAGTTCCAGAGGATAGATGCTGTTTTCTGGCCTCTGCAGGCACTGTATACACAGGATGCGAAGACGTAAATGCAACCAGAATACTTACACAGTAAAATAAACATGAACAGATAAATCTTTAAAAAAGAGCCTTTCATCTCTTCCAGCATGTGAGAATTCAGTGGGAAGACACTGTTTAAGCAGAAAGCAGCACCAGACACTGAATCTCAAGGCTCTACAGTGGTGACGAAGAGTTACTGTCGCTTTAGGCCACTTTGGTGCTTTCTTTAGTGTCCCAGACAGATAAAGCTAGAGAGGGGCATCTATGGACCCAGCTTTCCCCAGAATCTCATCACCACTTGGGGCAATCAAAACAAAATGTAAAGACAGGGAGGCTCAAATGCTGACATTTATTTTCTCATGAATCTGGAGCTCAGAAGTCTGAGATCAAGCTGTCAGCTGAGTTGACTCCTGCGGCTGCTTGGGAAGGATCTGTTCCAGGCTTGTCTTCTGGGCCTGTACACCATCTCCCCTCTTCACATACAGTCACAGTCTAAGGTTTCCTGGGGGGAGCAATGAAGGATCTGTTCCAGGCTTGTCTTCTGGGCCTGTACACCATCTCCCCTCTTCACATACAGTCACAGTCTGAGGTTTCCTGGGGGAAAGCAATGAAGGCCATAATGCCCCTGACATGAGTTGATGTTTAATCTGTATTGACATGGAGGGAGTTGATGGGGAAGAAACAGGCTGATTGCCACTTATGAGGTAGTAAGAGTGGGGTGTGTGCTGTTACAGGGTCCCCACCGGACCTGATTTCCAGGAGAACTGGTAGAAGGGGAGCTGGCTGACTCTGTCTCCTGGAGCCAAGCTTACTAGTGGGAGATAACCTAAAGAGACACTGTCCTTTTTTTTGCCAACTTTTTTGACTGAGAATGCTTGGAATCCCCTCTCCTCATCTGTACCTTGAAAGACATGTATGTCCTAACTAGATGTAAGGACATAATAGCCAGAATTCAAGGCTAAGCCAGGACTTGACCCCAGACCCGTCTCTTTGGTCTGTAGTGCCCCTGTATGTCTCCACGTGTGGAGATGTAGAGTAAGTTCATCTTTGGCTCTTTTCAGAGGAACTAACTCATTTAGTTAGCTAGATGATAGGATAGCAGCTTGCCCTGGGAGAGGCCTAGACTGAATCTGGAGTATTTCTCATGCAGGGTTTCTCTTGTGGTCTTTATTCAGCCCCTCAAGACCATCATCCACATGCTGTGCTTTGCCCTGCCCCATACAGAACCAGGTTCTCTGGGGACAGGGCAGGGATTGTGAGTGCTCAGGCTGAGGCCACTGTGCTGTTTTTTTGCAGCTGAAGAGCAAGTGGGACGAGTTCATCTTTACGAAAGGGTGCATCCAGGCTCTGGAAGGCTGGCTGCCCAGGAACATCTACATTGTGGCTGGTGTCTTCATTGCCATCTCACTGCTGCAGGTATGCTCCAGAATTCAAGCACCGGGCCCTTCACACATGGTCTGCTGTGAAGGAATCTGGCCTAGGAAATAGTGTCCAAGGCTAGGTGCATGTATATGTATAGCATGGCGGTACCTGTACATATATATTGGAGGGTAGACCCAGGATGGGCTGTGGCTCCTCTGTCCCCACAGTCTGCTACCTGAAGGGAGACCTTCTTTAGGACACACAGATGGGACAGCTGTGGCCCTTTCTGGAGGCCCCAGTAGGCTTCATATGGATGGTGTTGCCTGTGTGGTGGTCAGGGTAATTGCAGTGCATGGCCAGTAATTGTCGCCTCTTTGGGATCTTTCCTTTCTGGTAGCAGGATTTAAGGAGATGTCAGGAGCTCTAGTGTGGGAGGTGACTCTTCCTATTAGCTGGGGCAATTATCTCAGAACTTCCTTGTCTCTGTTCCCTGGCTGGGTTTCCTGGAGTCTTCCCCTCACCACAGAGGCCCCTGTGGCTTACTGCCTTTTGCAGCTTAAAGCTGTGCCTATTCATTTGAACTAAATTTCTCATGTGAACAGACATTGGTAGCCCAGGGGTGAATGGGTTGGCTGGTGCCCACAGGAAAACCTAGAAAAAGTCAAGAATCCAGTTCTTTAGGGGTGTCAGTTTTCGTAGTGCCCATGAGTAAGAGGCACTGGCAGCCTTTGAGCAGCTTGTGGGACAGTGGAGGCTGTGTTGGCGTGGGGAACACGTGTCAGGCGGCTCTGCCTTGAGGAGGTGACTGGGGTGGACCTGGCTGCAATCACACCACATCTCTTTATTCTTCACTGTGTATGTCCAGTGACTGCAGAAGACCACTAGAGAGAAGCTTGTGGAAAAGCAAAGAAACGTTTGTGAAGTGGGCAGAAAGAGAACTTCAGAGAAACTGACTTCACTTATGAAGCATAGAACTTAAAAGGGGGAAAAATCGAGCACATCTCCAAATGTGTGTTTGTCTGTTTAGGTAGAAAATCCTCACCCTTCCTTCACAACATTCCTGTCTGCTAAGATCAGGATGTGTCTGCAGACATCAGGGTCATGGCTGTGAGATTATTCTCTTGGGAATCAGGGTGACGGGGTGGCTGGTTCTCAACAGTTGGTGCTATTTTTCAGTTTGACCTAGAGCTCAGATATGTGGGTCCTGTCTATGGTGTGTGGCATGTTCACTCCCTGGAGGCAGGCTGAGCATCTGTTCTGGTCTGTGGCTCCTGGTCTGACCTCTTCCATGCTTGAGAGATACAGCAGCCTACCCTGGGCTCATTTTCCATGGGGCAGGTTAGGCTTTGTAACTTGCCCACACTCTGCTCTCACCTCACCCTTGACCTGATAGGGTAGGTGAGGGACTGATAGGGTAGGTGAGGGACTGATAGGGTAGGTGAGGGACTGAGTCCGTGCAGGCAGTCTCCACCAGTTCCGCTGCTCCCTGCCCCTGTTTTAGGCCGCTGATCTTTGGTTTTGGTTTCAGATCTTCGGCATCTTCCTGGCGAGGACCCTGATCTCAGACATCGAGGCAGTGAAGGCAGGTCATCACTTCTGAGAAGCAGCGGCAGCAAGTGGAGCTGAGCCACACATGGAAGTGAAGCCACCCACAGCCAGACCCCAGTCTTCGGCATCAGTGTGACGTGACCTCTCTGTTTCTTCTTGCTGGTGCTGAAGACGAAGGCCCCTTCTCATCTGCCCACACTTGACATGGCATCTTTGAAGGGGTTTGCCCAGAGACAGAGAATGTGTCTTCATGTGGAGTAGTAACTCTGAGGACAGATGGCTCCCATGGCTGCAAGGAGGGCTTGATGGCCCTCTTGGAGCCCAAGAGCGTCTGCAGGCCCCTACCCACTCAGTAAGGCTTAGGTACATACATGCTCAACTGTTATCTTCTGTGGGTGGAACATTTGTGTTGGACCAGCAGGTTGAGGACAACTTCTGGCTCCATTGGATCAAGAAGCATGGGGGAGGAGTAAGTGTTCCAGTGGGTTCCTGAGTGCCAGCAGGGTTCATGGTGGTGCCAACATGCCACGGGTTTGCAGGGTCCTCAGCCATGGCCACATGAAGTAAGCCTGAGCCAGCCATAACCGGTCCCAGGGAAGCACCTTGCCACTGCCTTCCAAGCCTACACTGCTCTCCCAGGGTAGATCAGCCTTGTGTCTCCATAGCATTAAGCCCTGCTGAGAGCCCGCTCTCCTGTTCTTAAAGCGTGTAAATAGTTTATTTATAGGGGTAAGAGTGTTTCTTCACCATGGCTTCATTGCCTCTTCTCTCCAGCAGTCTTTTCTCAGCAGCCTTACCCAGTGTCTGGGACCAAGCTGCCCTTTTCAGTTCCCTGAATGTCTGAGAACTAGCTGTGACAGCCTCTCCCTCTAGTCCACATTCCCTCCACGCACCCCTGCTTGGCTTCACTGTCTTCTGGTCTCGGTGCTACTGAAACTGCCACCAGAACTTGAATCCTGATTGACCCTTTCTCCCCACTGCCCTCCAGGGAGCCCAAGTTCCTGATTGCTAGCTGGAAACTGGGTTCCTCTCATGACCACATACAGCTAGTGGCCCAAAGTGTGCTGTCCCTGGAGGGCAACACTCTGCAGCCAGGCCCTTGCGAGCCACAGACACCAGGTGCTGTGTGAAGCTCAGCACAACGTCGTCTTCTCACATCCATGGTGACTCCTCCACCCAGATGCCATTCTTCTGCTGTTGTCTCCACTGTCAGTGCTGTCTGGGGCTGCTCTTGAAAATGATGTGTGTCTCAAGTACTGGATGCTCCTGAGGCATGCTTGGTGTCTGTCCACCTTGGCCTGGGCTCCTCTAATGCTTCTCTGTAGCTTGTATGTGTCCTCACCGTTCAGGGGTTGAGTGCCTACCTTCAGTGACTTGCCGAGGTGTACATTCTAGTGTGGTGTATACTGGTGATACTGGTGGGTGTGTGTTCATGATGATGACGATGTTATAGTTTTCTAAATAATTCTCTATAGACTAGAGGAAGAATGCTTGTGTTTTTAGGAAGTGTGATGCTTCACTTTGACCTGCCAAACTCTTTTATGGAATATATCTTTATATTAATGCTGTTGTTTGGGTCATTTTTTGTTTGGAATCATGATTTAAAAAAAAAAAAACCAAAAACCTCTTTAAGCATTTTGGTGATAAATTGAGCCACTGAGCTGACCCGAGGCATCAGGTGTGACTGGGTGATATAGGAACCCAGTGGTTAAGGCACATCCTGACAGATTGCGGGTATCCTTCATGTGCACCCTGCAGCTGAAACTGGGTGGCTCATGCTTTGCCACCCTCAGATAGAAGCATGAACTGGAACAACTTCCTTTCCAAGTTCTCAAAGCAGCACTCTTCTCAGTTATCTCGATCCAGCTCTGGGAATATGCCCATTCAGGCCAGAGTGCTCAGAGACCATGGGTCCAGACAGGACACTGCTGCGTGAGCTGGTGGATGTTTTTCTGTGCTGGGAAGTGCAGGGTCAGACACTTCCTTCTCTGAGAGAGACACTTTGGAGGCTACTGAGGCAGCACGTGGGCTGCTATCCTTGGAGGGCTCCTCAGCAGAGGGAGCCACTTGATGGCTTCCTGGCCCATAACTTCAGAGGTGCAGGAACTGGTTGAAATCCCTCTACTCTGACAGGTGAGGGGGTAGAGAATGTATATGCCCATGGGTGGGCCCTTGTTCCATCCAGCATGGATGTGTCCTTAAAGACCATGGGTACCACATTGTCAGCCTTGAACTGTGGGAATACCCTACCTTCCATCATGATCTTAGTTGAGATGCTTGCGTTGATTATGTCCAGAAGGATGCGGTTCAGCCTTTTGAAGTGACCTTATATAGTGTCTGTACTTCATCCTCGACACATAAAAGGGCTGTCCCTTTGGTCGCTTTTGGTGTCTCCAATGATCCTCTGAAAAATGTCAGGTGAGCATTGTAGAACTGGGGCTAGGGGCAGGAACGATGACTTAACAATTAAGAGCATTTGTTGCTCTTCTAGAAGACCCAGGTTTGGTTCCCAGTACCCATGTGGTAGGACACTAGGCACACATGTGGTACACATACGTACAGGCAGACAAACATACTATAACATAAATAAATAAATATATAAATATATAAATATATAAATAAGACAAAACTCTGGGGCTAAGGCGTAACTGTGGAAAAAAGAGTTAAAGAATGCTCTTAAGCAGATGTTGTTCTGGGGTTTTGGGACCCTTACCAGTGTTGAGGGATGCTTTATTTGGAGTGACAGGATACAAGTACTCCTGCAAAGCTCAGAGACAGATATTTCTTCACTTGGCTTTTTTCTGTATTTTGTACCTCCTATCCCAGCAGGGGCTTCAAAAACATAGCTTAATAACTACCAAATTAAATTATCACCTTAGACCATCATTTTTGTCACCTCAAACTTTTAAATTTCATTTTCTAAAGTATAAGTAAAAGCTGTGTAAATAGAGTGTAAAGTGAAATGTATGTTTTCTGTTGCTCAAAGTCAGCCACTCTTAAGGATCTTTCCAGAAAATGTCTTTGGATCTTCATCCAAACAAGGGTCTTTTTTTTTTTTTTCAACTTTCTGTAGTTCTTTTTACTTAATGTATTGATGTGTGATACATTCACTTGGTCAAGCTCTCCACTGTATGAAATGCCACAAACGAGTGGATGTTGCTCCTTAGGATATTATATTTACGGTCCCAGGTAACAGAAAACCCCATTCAACCAACCTGAACAATGAGCGGAGGGTTTTGGCTCCTGAAACTGGAAAGTCCAGAGGTAGAGTGAGTTTCAGGGTTGATGTGATCCAAGTGTCTCAGTGATGTCAGCAGGATCTGGTTTCCTTTTCTCTGTCTGCCACAGTGTCTCCATTGTTGGAGCCTGAGGCAGGGACCCCTCCACTTGAGACAGCCTCTAGCCTCCATGATGGGGCACCGTGGTGGTGAAGTCAAGGAGGGAAGGTCATCCTCTCCCCATGACTGCTCATTCAACCACATGTTAGGAAGTAAACGTGTATATTAAAAGAAACAATTGCAGAATGGCTGGGGAGATGATTCTGTGAGTAGAGGGGCTTTTTTGGTATGTGTTGAGGACCTGCATTTGCATGAATGTCTGTAATCCCACTGCCCCTACTGGACATGTGTGGTATAGACAGGAAAATCCCAGGAAGCTTGTGAGCCAACTAGTCTGGCCTGTTCAGTAGAAGAACAACAGAGTGCCCCTGTCTCTCAAGAGGAAGTCAAGGACCAACACCAGGGGTTGTCCTCTGACTTCCATATATGTGATGTGCCATACCCACATTCACAGTCACACACAGGAATGTGTCCACGTTGTACCTAGATATTCACACATCATGCACAAAGGGAAAAAAACTGCGGTACTTGTTATTCAAATAACTTAATAGAATTAAACAATATTTTTAAGGGAATTCTTCAGGAAGATGTGCACATGTTAGTGGGTTCTATTGGCTGGCTGTGCCAGGCCAGATCACTCCTTATTGCTGGTGTGTACATGAATGCCTCCAGCTGCCACATTCCTTTTTTTGTAAAATGGGGATGGTAGTTCCTTCTGTTGTGGTGTTTCAAGGATTAAGTGAGATGAGGTGGGTGGAGGGTTTAACATTTAACATAGTGATGTTTATCTGAAGCTACATTTCCACCAGCTGAGCTGCCCATGATGAATGTCACACAGCTTGAGTTCTGAGGTAAGCTGAAATGGAGAGGTCACATCTCTGTCACCTAGGAATGACTTTGAGGTTTTCTGGGAACCTCAGTGGGACTTTGGAGCTCAAGGTCTGCTGTCTGTGCTATAAGGATAGTGTGGGGGGCACTGGTTCTTACAGGGGTGTGGATCCTGCCAGAAAGCTGCACAAATAAAAGAGTTGCTCCTGGATCCCCAGAACCCTACCAGCGGCGGTGCTTTGGAGCTGAGGATGAACAAGAAGGTGGTAAGGACATGCTTTCCCACTGGAGGTGAGGAACACTGGTCTCCTCTTGGGAACCCCAGCACTTCCACTGTACAGGAACTTAGAGTGAGCAGAAGAAAGAGCTGGAATGTTGGTGTGGAGCCTAGTGCAAGCTGATGTGTTTTGAACACTGGGTCATCATGTTTGCGTGGTTGAGAGACCCCATCTGATCCCCCTCCTGGTAGGGAGGACAGGCCCTGGGAAGTGCTGGGGTTCCAAGGAGAAGACCATGTGCTCCTCACCTCCAGTGGGAAAGCATGTCCTTACCAACTTCCATGAATAACCAGGCTCACTGAAACCAGGAAGTGGGTTGCTGTGTGCTTTCCTGGGTGCCAAGAAAATCTGGTGAAAGTATAAGGGAAAACTTAGAGTCAGGAAAAGTCAGGTCATATGTACCAGTTGTGATTCGGCTTTTCTAGAAGGAATGTGAAGTCTTCTCACGTGTCATTCCACCTCAGCTTCGTTGCTGGGCCTGCATCCTCCTCCTCACCCTCCATGCCCAGCCACTTTATCCTGTGCTCTTGTGAAGAAGCCTGGGTTATATGTTTCTATATGCCCTAAACAGTCACCACCTCTCAGCAAGAGGAACCATTGTAATGTTACCTCCATTTAGATTGATTTTGTTACAATCAGCACAGCTGGGGGCCCTATGGAAAGCATTGGAATGGCCTCTTAGAGGGACTGAGCACCCTGAAGATATGAAGAGGCATGGACACCTGCCTAAGGCCATGTGAATTGACAGGTGTGGGTTTACATTTCATGGACTGAGGTGAGTCTTTTAGAGGCAATGGTCCTTCCCATGCTAAGGACAGTATTTTTTTTAAGGATTCAGAAATATAGATAAGCACATGTAAAGATTTTTTTTTTAATTTTAGTTCATTCATGGACAGAGGTGGAAAGGTTAACAACCAATTCAAAGGCGAAACAATGAAGCATCAGTCATTATGGAGTAAAGCAATACCAAAATGGATTTTCAGTAGGAAAGTAATCTACTGAATCCCATTTGGATGTATTATATGCACATCTATCTACAAGAATAAGTCTGCAGTAACTCTACAGCATAGTTGTAAAATACTTCAAAGATAGTTAAAGTTTAGAGACTCAAAGAGCTGTTAGGGTGTGTCCTTAATGATAGGTTTTCATTGGTGACAGCCAGAATATTTTGCTTATTCCAAATGTCTTTGTAACTAACCATCTGGCAGAGCTCACTTTTAAATAGGAACCAGGCAGGTTATCCAAAGGAGCTGTTGATTCTTAGTAAAAGTGAACCCTGATGATTAGTGTCCCCCAGGCATCCCAGGTAAAGGTTAATTATTATACAAGGTGTTCAGGTGCCAGTGGTTCTGTGTATGTGGATAGCTCAGGCCATGAATGACACTTGGTGCCTGGATGTCTGCAGACACCTCAGCTGCTGCATCCCAAGCTACTGAACTCATCTCTCCCAACCAAACCCTACCTTCACATGTGTCCCCATCCCATCCATCCATAAGTGGCCAAATCCAGGGGTGAGGTTTATGTTATGTTGACTCGGAGAAAGAAGTGGTTCTCGTCAAGCCACCTGGTCTGAAAGTTACCTCCAGAGATGCTAATGCTTCTCTCTGATGCCCATCAGGACACTCAAACATCTTTCGCCTGGCCCTTTGCACTCTTCCTGATGATGATTCTTCAGGATTCATTGCACTTCCCATGTTGTAGTCACTTTTTGAACACAGCTGCATTTTGAGGTGTGTTTACCTCCTTTCTCTGTAGATGACAAAAATTCCTGGCAGCTGTGGACACATGAGGACTTGGGTAGCACAGAATAGAACCTGTGGTGACTGTTCTAACAATCTGGGATATGGGAGTTCCCAGACCCTGGCTGGTGACTCCTCTTCCTTCCCTCCAACGTAATTAATAAAACCAACAAAGACACATATTGAATATGCTTTTATTAATTCCTTGATAATTCATACAATGTGTTTTGAGCATATCCATCCCCATTCCTCCTAATTCCTCCTAAATCTCCTCCCCACTTCTTTTAAACCCACCAGGTCAATTTGTGCTGCTCATATTCTCATGAGTTGGGGGCTACCTAGAGGCTGAGACCCTCAAAGAAAGCTGACTCTGGAGGGAA